TAGACCGTCCCCCAGTTCTGTTCCTCCGTCCCCGCCCGGATAAGTACATACACACATACATACATGCAATCAGCAACTCTGGACAGGAGACCCAATCATCCATAGACCTTTGACATCACTCATGCGCACAACAAGCTTCCCATTGCTCGGGGCCTCACACACGCGACATGCATGGACAAAGCAGCGATGGAGATAAAAGCGAGTCCTCCTTGTACACAAAAATTATCAATCAACTGCCGCCCCTAGGCGCAGCCTTCAAAACTTCCCAAGACCACCGACCACCATAGCCACAAGGCCCTGCCGCGGCCGGCGTCCAATCCCCAACCTTGCTCAGTCCCTCCGACTGCTTCGCCCCGACACTACCGCGGGCCCACCCCACGTCGTCACTCCGCCCGTCCTTGGGCTCGTCGAACCTGTTCGGCGCCGCGGACTTCGCACATAGCTCGCGCAGCATTGCAGCCGAGATCAAAGAGAGAGAGAGGGGAGGGTTGTGCGAATTTATAGCGCGAGAGGCGGCGGGTTGTCAGCGCGGGGCGCGGGCAGCGCAGGTTGTAGATGAGCAGGACAGGAGGAAGGCGGGGAGTTAGAGGGTTCGACCCGCGGGATGGCATGGTCCTACGTGATTGAGGTGTCCTTTCAAGTGGTGCGCGGTTTCCCGCTCTCCACATTGATCCGAGCATCCCAACTACGCGGCCAATCACTTCGCGGGGTAAGGATCGAGCTGGGCGGAGGGGAAGACGAAGAGTCCGGCATGGGGGAAATGCGCGCAGCAAGAAGGGAAGATGGCGCGGGGCTGCAAAGCAAGAAACGGGGGTGCGAGACGCGCGAAGAAGCCGGAGCTTAGGCTCGCGCGCACAAAAATTCAAAAAGTCCCCACCGAAACTGTTTCTTGGTTTTCATTCCGCGGCCGCTATTCGCCCGCGCGGGAGTTATTAACCAAACAAAATGAAAAAGCCGTTTCGAAAAGAAAACAAAAGCAAAAAAGAAAGAAAACCCCCTGTTTGTCCGCATCCGTGCCTCGGGGCTTCCGTGGGATTTTCCCTCAGGGATACGGGAAGCCGCGCGGTACGGGTCTGGGCTTATCACAAGCACTGAGGAAACTCCCTTCTCAGAAGCATGCTAGTATAATGTGGATACAATCGATGCTTCTGACCCCAACCGCAACCTGGCTGAAGTCTAGGAAGATGAACATTGCGGAAACTTGCCGCCGGTGTAACTGGAGTTGGGAAACAGATGTCCACCTCTGGCTGGAATGTCCTCTGGCCAGACAGATTTGGGCTTGGTGGAGGTTCCACTGGTCCAAGATTGCTGGAGATGTCTTTCCCTGGACTGATAACTGGATACTTTTTGGCCTACAACCGCCCAACAGCCAGTTGGAGGTGGGGTGGGGATACACAGCCCTCGTCTGCAGGGGAGCGGTTATGCAGGTGATCTGGTCGGCTCGAAATAACCAAGTCTTTGAAAGAGAAGCCACTCCAGTGGAGTATCAGAAGCACCAAATATTGACTCACGTCAGGACTGCCATACGAGGGGACTGGATGAACAAGGCTGACAAGCATTGGTTTCGTAAAACCTGGGCGATTGGGAAACAACTTGCAGATATTTCACCAGAACAGAAACTAATTCTGGCAAAATGGCTTCTACCATCTAGGGATTAGCAGTCAGATCTGGGTTCGCTATAGACCTCAGGGGACTGGGATCCCGTCGAAGTTCCGCGAGTAGGTGAAGATGGGCGAAGGAAGTGGAGGTGCTCATCCCTTCTGGTTTCAAGTAATGTAGGCCGTTGGGCGTGTTGTGTTGTTGTTAGAAGTAACATAATCTGTTAAAAGGAAGTTAGGAGTGGCAATTTATAGCTGAAGCTAGGGTAGGCGTTTTGGATACCTGAGCAAGTAGGAAGATTAGAGGGCGCAAACAGTTAGTTATTGTAGAAGAGTTAGAGGAAGAGTTTCTGATTAAACGGTGTACTGGAGATTTAAGATGGAAACCTTTGTATGCCCTCGGGTCCTATGAGGTCCCGTCAAAAGCGAACACTGGGTAATGCTCCCAGATCCGGGTAGAATTGTGAGGTCCCCAGCCTCAACATGATTTTTCGTAATATGAGAATATAAGACCTTCGCCCAACCAAAAAAAAAAAAAAAAAAAAAAAAATCTTTGCAAAAACAAATATGTAAACCACCAGTACTTGGCCCAGCGATCCGCCACCGTAAAAAATAGAGTAGACACATTTCTAGTCGGATGAATTTGGGTGCTCCTGTACTGGCCAGTACATTTCCTAAAATTGTGGCTTGTATGCAGGCACGACTTAGGAAGTGCTGGTGGTTTAAGAGATGAACCAAACATTTCTGCATGCCCAAGAAAATTGCTTGCGGCAAGAGAACACATTTTTTACTTTCTGGTGCTCTACCAATAGGCCAACCCCATCTTGGTTTGGTGCACCAGGCTCTGCAAAAAAGTGCCATTGCAGAGGCGTTACACACCCCCTAGAAGGAAAGGAAAAAAAGGGGAAATTGTTGAAATACCCCTAAAAGTGTGGTTATGTCCTTAGATACCCCTACAACACAGGGGTATGCTGAAATGCCTCATCTGCCCCCGTTCCACTCGGTGGAAACTCTGCCATATACCCTGGCCCTGGGTTGCAGGGGCTCGTGCATTTTTCTTTTGCACTCTGCAGGGTCCAACGGCCAGAAATACCGGCCGGGGCATATAGACAAGTTGCCCAGGGCCCGGTGGGGGTATATGCAAAAGATGACAGGTCTGATTGGCGAGTGGGGTGTTCCACAAAGTTTCACTACTGTCATAAGGGCAGACGGCCATACCCATGCCTTTCAGGGGTATCTGGCAAAATACCCCACCTTTCAGGGGCATTTCGACAACTTTTTCCCCCAAAAAAAGGAGAGAAACAAAAAAGAGAGAGAGAGGGAATACTTGTTGGTATACAAGCCAATCACCCTGATGTCTCACGTCCCATTCAGCCTTTGGTTCGAAAAGCTGATCGACATTAACCCGGGGCCATGTCCCACTTCTTGCAGTTTTGTTCTGGTTGCGAGTGTACATGGCTCCTTGCCATCCGATCTGAAAATCTCACGGCCCTACTACTAGTAGTGCGACCACGTTGGAAAATACACGAAACATAAACTAAACCCGCGCCCCCGTCGACACATTGGCGGCATCCTAACGTCTCACGTTCGGTTCAGCATTTCGTTCGAACCTTCGGTTCGAAAAGCTGCACCGCTAAACAAAAAAAAAAAAAAAAAAAAAAAAAGCTGCACCACACTAACCGCCTTGCTGTGCACGCCAACGCACTGACGGCAATCACTCTGATGTCTCCCGCTTGGTTCGGCATTTGGTTCCAAAAGCTGCACCTCATTGACCCGGTGTGCAAGCCAACACCCTGAACGCAATCCCTCTGCTATCTCACTTCAGGTTCGACATTTAGTTCGGCATTCAGATTGGGATTTGGTTCCGCATTTGGTTCGACACTTGGGTAGGCATTTTGGTTCGAAAAGCCAGCCGGTGGGCAAGCCAACGCACTGCGCGCGATCAATCTGACGACTCGAGTCTGGTTCCGTTCGATTCGGCATTTGGTTCGAGCCCAAGTAAGGTTACGCATTCGGTTCGGCATTTGGTTCGAACAGCTGAACCGCGTTCACCGGGTATGCACGTCAACACACTGCAGGCAACCACCACCCAGATGTCTCACGTCTGGTTCGGGATTTTGGTCGACAGTCGGTTCGGCAATCGGAACCATATTAACCCGGTGTGCAAGCCAGCGCACAGAGCGCACACACCCTGCTGGCGAGTGCGATTACCTAAACAGTGTGTTGTCATGTTCGCTGTTCACAACACCACAAAACCATTGTGTGTGTGCAAGTGTGTGTGCGTGTGCGTGCGTGTGTGTGTGTGTGTGTGTGTGTGTGTGTATTGTCATGTTCGCTATGGCAACATTAGCAGCCATTGGAATGATTTTAGGAGCAGCTTATTCCAGTTGGCTCTATAATCGTGTTGTGTTTGGAAATTTCAAGCCGTATTTCATTAATAAGTCCTCCGATTTAAACAGAAGAGAATTTTTCATGTTTTTACCTTTTGTAATTGGAGTTGTTTGGATGGGTGTTTATCCTCCTAGAGTGTATGCATACCTACACAACTCCACAAAACCAGTGTGTGTGTGTGTGTGTGTGTGTGTGTGTGTGTTCTATGTTTGTTGTGTATGTTGTGTGTTTGTGTGCTGTATGTGTGTTGTGTATGTTGTGTTTCTGTGTGTTGTGTGTGTATTGTGTGTGTGTTGTGTGCGTGTTGTGTGTGCTGTGTGTTGTGTGCATACGTGTTGTGTATGTACTCCATACACACCTCAACAACGAAAGACGAACTCTCAGACTGGTTTTCCGACTTTCATCGCCTCATCAGGGGGTTGAATGAACCTGGACAGCCTGCCCAAAAGATGCAGCGACTCAACACGCCGCCCAGACTTCGCGATACCCCTGAGGAAAGTGGTCACCTTTACTCACAACACGACTTCACCCACAGCAGATGAAAGTTGAAGAGGGAGATTGGAGGGAGAAAATGAATAGAGAGACAGAAGGGAGAGAAGATGAAGAGAAACCGTGGAAGCAGGATGACGACGAGATATCCGACTTACCAGGATAATGGTCTCACGGCAGACTCATCCATCTGAGAAGCTGAACGGCGCCAAGGCGGAAGGGAGGTCTCTCTCTCTCTCTCTCTCTCTCTCTCTCTCTCTCTCTCTCTCTCTCTCTCTCTCTCTCTCTCTCTCTCGTCATATATAATATACACACAGTTATATACATATACAGACGTATACATATACATGTATACATCGTACACACGCACACATATCTTTATATAATATATATCATCACATGAATATGAGAGCGCAAAAGCGAAAAAAAGAAGAAAAAAGAATGAATTCGTTTTTTTTCTATCTTCTTCCTTACAACTCCCCCTGTTCAGAACCTCCTCTTGCGTACAAGGCCGCCCACGTGGATGTTGTCACAGAACTATTATACCGGGTTCCCTCCAACCCTTCATGTTCTTGCCTTCCCTGTGTCCCGATAAGAAATCTCCCCTCCTTAAGAATCTCCCCTCCTTACTTGGTAGAATTTTGTACAACCACACTGAATGCAGAATGAGGAAAGCAGTCTCTCCTGTATTTGACAACTAAAATTCTCTGCAGGCTTCACCCCCACCTCCCTCCCTACCTACCGACCTACCGACCTACCGACGTTCTACTACACTTACATGTGTTATCCCTTCCTCTACTCCAATGACGTGCCATGGCTGTCTGATGGGGCGGTCACGAGGTCGGGTCTCTCACCCGTCCGCTGCACACCGCCAGCGTCTCCTCCTACCCTTTTTCCCCCTCCCGTTTCCCCACCATCTCCTCCCCGTCTTCACTCTTATTCTCCTTCTCCTCCATCACACTGGTGCGGGGGAGGGCCCCCCCTCTCTTCTACCTCTACCCCTCCTCCCCCTAACCTCTCTGTGCCCGCACCGACTCCTCCACCTCCTTGCGAAGGCTCGATCGCGTTCTCTGAGGCAGCTTGTGCAGATTCTCTGCCAGAACCTGCATCCCCCCTCTGCCCCCCCTCCGACCTCATCGTCGTCATCAGCCAGACTAGCCATATTTCCTGATCGGGAGTCCACTCATGGAATCCCAACTGACCGAAGATCAACGCGAATTCGTCCCTCTCCATCATCCTGTGCTCCGCCCTGTGTCCTTGATTGAACCGCCCGCCATCATCAAGCTGATGCCGTCGATCGAAGCACTCACCACACAGATCGTATCCAATCCGAGGCCGACAGTCCAGGCATCGGTATCGCCGTCCGATGATCGGGTAGGCGCCACACCCATCGCATCCATACTGGGGATGAATCATCCTATGCCGATTCGCTTGCTGACCCTGCTGCGGCTGCTGAGGCTGCCCTTCTTGCTGTTGCCTGGTTATCGTTCCCGCCGCCACCGGGAGGTTCCCATTAGCGTCGCTCTCCCCTTCTTCTGTAATCATCATCGTCATCCTCGCAACACTCCCATCATCCTTCTCCTCCTCCTCCTCCTCCTCCTCTTCGTGTGTGTCATCGTCTCTCCACGTAGGCACAGAAGGAGGACGGGGGGGAGCGGGAGGCGGAGGAGGAGAAGGGTTGGCAACAGGAGTAGTACACTTGCCTTTGACTTGTGTCTGGCGGTGGGAGATCTCGTCAGGGAAGAGGGTCTCTAGGACGCTCTGCAGGATCCTGCAAAATCCAGGCCTTCGCTCCGGCTGCCGGGCGCCGCAATCGGGACAAATCAACGGTGTTCCTCGCGACTGCGCGCAAACACTGCAGAACCCATGGCCGCAATTCAAAACCACAGGTTTGATTAGAAGCTTCTGACACATTCCGCATCGAAACAACCCTAAATCCGGTCGCGATCGCCGCGAATCTGGTCTGCATTCGCGTGACGATTCATCAGCATTGTCATCTGCGGAGCAGGAAACCCTAAGTTGTTGCTCGTGCTCACGACCGCCTTCCCCTTGCTGCTGAACACGAAGCAGCTCACCCCCTCCCGCTGCATGAAGACTACCAGTCCCCATCTTACTTACTGTCTCTCTCCTCCCGCCACCCCGATCGCCGCCCGCTTTTTCCTCCTCCTCCTCTCCTCGTTGGCCGTCAGCTCCTCTCCTATTTGCCCCTCTTGTGCATGCCGTGGCACTGCTGGCGCCTACCGCTTCGCCAGATTCGCCGCCGGCAGCCCCACACTCCAGCGCTGTGACAGTCCATCGATGGCCATCATCATATTCACTTTGCAATAACTGCGCACCCCTCGGCCGTCCACTCCCCTCCGCAAGCGCCATCACCCCCCCACTCTCCTCAGCGTCCCGCCGCCTATCACTTGTCTGGGTCGTTCCCTCGCCGCTGTGGATGGACATCTCATCGTTCATCCCGACGGCAGCGTGAACGCCCAGCCGTTCGTTCTCGCGAGCGCGATCGCGAGCGCGATCGCGATCGCCCCCCTGCGCGCCAGCGACGGCAGCGGTCGAAGTACGCACCCTCGCCAGCGCGTAGCCAGACCTCCTCGACGAAGCCTCCATAGAGGAAGAGGAAGAAGAAGAATTCGACGACGAAGAGACACGCGATCCTGGGGAGACTTCGCTATGATTGCTTATCCGCTTTACAAGCTCGAAAATTGCTGATGTGCTAATTACCGAGGAGGAAGAGACGAGCAAACCCAGTCTTGATAGGTGATCAGGACGCCGGGCAAATTCAGATGGCGTGTCATCTGTCGGCGAACGATTCACCGGAGGCGATGGTTCCCCGTGATCCCCAACCGCAGCGCGCTGCACATGCGCATCCGCCGACGCTGCTGCTGGTGCTGCTGGTGCTGCTGCGTGATCTCCAACCGTAGCGCGCTGCACATGCGCATCCGCAGACGCTGCTGCTGCTGCTGCTGCTTCCCCTCCCTGGTCATCATCGACGACTTCCTCGGGGTGGCCATCCTCATCCCCATCTCCATCCCCATACTCCTCCTCCTCGGCGCTGTCACCATCCAACGGCTGCAGCACTTCGTCAAACACTCCCTCCTGCTCCCTCTCCGCGTATTCCGTTGGAAAGGTGGTCTCGACGAATTTGTCCAGCAGCGCACAGACACGTGGCAGGTGTGAGTAGCCTCGCCGACAAAGAGGGCACGACGAGCCCCTGATCGGACTCATCGCCTTATGAATGCACATCAGACAGAACATATGCCCGCACACATTCACAACAGGCTTGAAAGCCAGTTCCCTGCAAACAGCGCACAAGAAGTCATCCACGTGGAACAGCGGCCGCCACGTGTCCACATCTCCCCATCGCATCACTTCTTCTCGTCCATCCGCCATAGCTGCGCAGCTTTAAGCCTCCCTCCGCCGAACCTTCAAGCACTTAAAAGTCAGAGGGCACGCTCACCCTGTGGTGGCAAATCCGCACAATCTTTAAAAGTAGTAGTTAAGTCCCGATTTGGGGAAATAGTGGTGAATGTCTCAAAACAGCGGCGGCCACGTGATTTTTTTTAATTTTTTTTTTCTTGGGACCACGTGATTTTTCGCGCCCAGGGCCGAGGTCCCACTAGCAAAAAGGAAAGGGTCGAGCTCCTGAATATGGATGTGGTTTCAGCAGAGATGCAGAAAAGCAATTCAATCTCGATTTCCTGCACATCTCCATAAAATCGTCCAGATTCGGGCATTCGATCCGATCCTCTTTGCTAGTGGGACCACGCCCCAGGGGCCGGGACCGACTAGCCTCGGTTAAAATGGTGTGTGGCGTTCTTTTCTCATTTAAAAACGCATAAACAATGCTATTTGGACCCAAAAAAACGAAAAATCACGGGACCTGACATCGACATCATGACAGTACATCCAGGCTGTGCATCCACACTTCCACCAACCCTGTACATCTGCATGCGACCTTCCTGCCGGCCTGATCGCAGTCTTCCAGGGAAATCTCAATATTCTCAATTTCTGCAAAGAAAAATAGCAAGCCGCAAAGGTTCAAAAACAAACCCCCCGAGCTTGAGAGGGGCAGGATAGAACGATTCAAATTTGGGACAACCCACCGCAGATAATTTGGGACAACCCACAGCAGATACGGGTGATACAGAGGAGAGATGGAAGAGGGAGGGTGATGCAGACACAGTGGGTTGGACAGACTTCTCTGCAGGACCTGAGGATTGACCCGGACGCATGGACCTGGTCTGGAGGTAGAGCCACCAGGGCACACCCGCAGGGGCTGAATCTAACAGTGTATTCTCCAGGGGAGTCCTACCTCACTGCGAAGAGGCCTCAGAGATCTCCTGCGGCAGTGGCAATAACAAGATGGAGTGCAGTGCTCCCTATAGACCTCCAGGAGGACGCAGGCAATTTTGGAAAGCTATGGCGAGTTCTGCTGGAGTTGCCAAATGCACGCCAGTATTCTGTGGATGTTATCACTGTTGGTAACGCCTTCTGTGGTTTGGCTACAGGCCAGGGGAAGGGAGGTGGAAATGGGATGCACCTGCTGTAGGTGGCCGTTTGAATCTACACGCCATCTCTGGTGGGAATGCCCTGCCTCTAAACGCATCTGGCGGTGGTGGGGCACACATTGGCAGTTGATGGGAGGAGAGGGAATCGAATGGGATGAGAAATGGGTATCGTTAGGTTTCCCCCCTGAGGCATGCACGGGACTGAGAGGGTGGCCGTACGTGGCACAGGTGGTTAGATCGGTGATCTGTGCAGTCATCTCGGCGGACCGGAACCGAGCCAGGTTTGAGAGACGCCCGTACTCAGATAAGGAGATCAAAGCAGCAGTCAAGAAAGGCATAAGACAGGCAATCGCTGTAGACTGGCGGAGGAAGGCAAAGGAAGGGAAAGCCAGCTGCAGCCAACTATGGTGGTTCCTGAAGACGAGGGCAATTCGTAACCAGCTGGCGGCCTATCATCGGACTCGGGGGCTTCAGCTCTCGAGGTGGTTGACTGACTGAGGGGGGAGGTTCAGGGTGAGTCAGAGGTTGTACGGACCAGGGTATGTTCGAGGGGACGACCGCAGTAGGTCAACAAGGGGAGGAGGGTGGCAGAGTACCATTGTGCTTTGGAACAGTGGTTCCAACCGGCCATGGTAGGCTGGTCTCAGGCCGAGTAGGCCTGTGTTCGTAGGTAGGGTGGATAAAGTGGTAGTAGGATGAATAGTGTAGGGGTGATAGGTTACAGTAGAGTAGATGGGATGTAGGGGTAGGTTAGAGGGGAGCTCACAATGAAGGAAAGTTGTTTGGAAGAGTTAGTGTGGTAGGGTGAAGTGTTGTTTGGTATCATAGAAAGGTGTTACCCTGAAGAAGCATGGCGAAGAAAGTTATTCCAACCCTGATGGTTGTAAGCGAAACCGGCTGAGGCTACCGGGATAACCCCGGGTCTGTCTCTTATACACATCTAGATGTGTATAAGAGACAGGTGCGAAGCTTCAAAAGCCCCCCCCCCCCTAAAACAACCATAGTATTGAAGTTTGGCGCCAACGCAAAGTGGCCAACTAAATGGCCAACAAATGAATTAAGAAAAAATCTACTGGCCTATGGGCAGCTACCTCCACGAAAACAAAGACGATCGACACTAACAGTCGATGCGCTACTGAATCAACGACAAACGGATGTCATGGACGGCCGCACGTGATCGAAAACGGAGGAGCACAAGCGTAAATCGGACGTAGTGGGTCAAGACTCCAGAGGAATGAGTGAAAAAATCTGAAATTTTCTCCTTTTTTTTCTTGCAAAAATTTTCGAAATGGCCCTCCGACTTCAGTTTATTTGCGGAATGCCCCTCCAACAGCCGACTTACCCTGTCGTGCTCATGGGGCCTCTGAAGTTTCCTGCATGACCCAGTCAGTGAGGGGTGCAGCTTTGCAGTATGCCCATGTGGCCGTTGGTGGCACTCGAGGCCGTTCCCCTGGCCCTGGGAGGGGAGCTACCCGGGCATACTGGAAATTTGGAACCGGTATATTTCAGGCCCAAAGGACTCTAGGGGCTTTTGTGAAACTTCAATCGTTTGAGAGGGGCAAGACAGGGTAAGTCGGTTGTTCGAGGGGAATACCGCAAACAAATGGAAATCGAAGGGGCATTTCAAAAAATTTCCTTTCCGTTTTAGCTGCTTTTTTTTTTCCTTTTTTTTTTTTTTTTTTAAATCCTAAGTATGGGGTTATACAATTCAACCCGGAACAAATTACTGGCAGCATCAACCAACTTCGGCGAGCTTCAGTGAGAGGGAAATACATTAGGCACAACTCCGGTCTCATATGGACCTCTGTCTTGATGCCTCTTTGTTGAATATTCAACAAGGAACCGCCAAGGCCTACAAAGTATAACAAGCCTAAAAGGAACCCGTCCATAAAAAACTACCTCTTAGCCCATAAGTCTAAACTAACCTCAAATAAGAAGAACCATTCTGTATTTACAACTCTTTATTTCCTTCTTATTTTTCCTACTGTCTACTAGTTTTATCCACCTATTTCGGTGGAGTGTGACTCATTCCTCATGCCTTCGTCCCTCTCCGTGTCTCCTAAGACCAAACACGTCTCGCCAACCGAGTGTCTTGGTTTTGGGTCTCCATACTCTGCGACCCTCGTACTATTGACTTACTGTGAGGGCACGGGTGCGCAACCTGTAGTTTGTATATGCTTGATTGATAAAGGAGGCATTATTGGTGAGGTTTAGAAGTATGCACTTGCAAATGCAATGCAGGTGTGTCGTTTCAACCTGCGCCCAAGGCTGCGCCCTTTCCGATTTTAGACGTTTCCACTTTTCCACCCTACCGCTACTTTGCCACCGTTTCGACAAAAACCCAGCGCGCGGTCTCACGGGCAGCTGCCGGTCCCGCATTTTTCAAAGAAACTACCCCCTCCCCCCCAAAGTTTCACCATGTTGTTGCTTTGCCACTGTTTCGACCAGACCCAGCGCGCGGTCCCACAGGCAGCTACCGGTCCTGCATTTTTCAAAGAAACTGCCACCACCCCCTAAAGTGTCGTGTTTGCATCTGCCTGCATTTTTCGAACCTCTGAACGACCAAACGAGTCCAAATCAACGACCTGTATAACGAAGGATGATAAAAATGTCTCGGGGAGGAAAATGACTTAAGGGGGGGAAACGCACCCCTGACGGCTGCAAGATTCTTAGTGAACTAGTTGTCCAAAATCACTTTGCCTGTCTCCACCATTACCATTTTTCTTCCTTTTGCCCATGTGTTCTCGAACAATCTGATGTTTGTGCCCCTATTTCCACCTTTACTCACCTTCCTTCTCCAGTGTGTCAAGATTCACCTCCTCAGTAGCTGCTTGAAGGTCGTCTTGATCTGCCTGTTGTGCCATTCTTTGTCTGTAAACACTTTGTCATTTCTCTCCTGATAGATCATCGCACATGTTACTGCTCTAGCAGTCTGCGCGACATATCCCTAGCCCGGGCTGATGTTGTTTCCTTTCTGTGTTCCTCCTAGCAATGTCCGTTCTCTTATTCATGGAAGTGTGCCTTTTGTGCATTGTTCCCAGTATTTTATCGACCATTTTCAAATCTTGCTCGAGGCTGGGCAGTCCAACTACAGGTACGTCGTTGACTCGCATGCCCATTCATATCTCTTACACTTATATCCACCTTCACTCCCCGTTTTGCCAGCCATACTGCAGATGGATAGCTGCCATCGATAGCAGCCAACTCTCTCTCTCTCTCCGTTTTATTTTTTCCCTTTTCATTTTACGAATACAGTTCGTTTTTTTTTTTTTTTTTTTTTTTTTTTTTTTTTTTTTTTTTTTTTTTTTTTTTTTTTTTTTTTACTTAACAGGGTCTTTTGTTTCCGTCTCCTTTCTTTTTGGACGAATACAGTTCGTTTTTTTTTTTTTTTTTTTTTTTTTTTTTTTTCTTTGTTGTCTGGTATTAGCTTAAGTTACTCCAAACATCATTTCAAAGTTTTATCAATTTGGGTTGGATCCATGTTCAAGAGTTGCACCCACCGTGTTGTGGTCACTACTTTTTGATGTTTGGATGGGATCATTAACGTGTAACCAAGTCTCAGTCTCAAGTTCATCAGCCCTACATTCTCCCCTGTCTGCCCTTGTGCTCGACATTCCCACATTCCAGAGTCCGTCTTCAGGGTTGTCACCGACTTGCCTTTCGCAAACAACGCTTTCACTCCCCCCGCTTTTTGTAATATTCTCATATGAGACAAGGCTGAGTCTAGCCATACTAGTGCTCCTTTTGTTTTATCTCCCACTTTTTGTCCGCTTGTGCTTATTTCCCATCCTTTGAAGATTATTTTTCCGTCTGTTTGCATTTCTTGAAGTTCCCACAACTTCATCTCCTCTGAGGTCTCCTCGATATACCAGGGTCTGGGGCGGTCCATTGTTTTCGGAGATAGTTTTA